GCACCGGGCGGCATCCAGAGCGCAGCGCTTACCGACTCACCCGCCAGAACACCGGGATGATCGGAAAGGTTGAGGGTTGCGGGATGAGGAAGACCACCGAGTACCACTTCATGACAATGAAAATCGGTCTCTTGCTGAAGGATATATGCGTTTTATGAAAGATTTGGCGTTTATCAATACTCGACAACTGCGTTAACATGAAAAAGTTAAAAAAAAAAAATCCAGCAGAGGGAGACAAAAGACAAAGCAGGGGGTGGGGGTAAAAACTTGAGGTTTTCCCCATGTGAGATTATGTTAAAGTAGTAGCAACAGTGCGTAGAAAATAGTACAAATCGTAATAAGTATCATATTTCAGATTATCCGAATTCATAGTAGGAGTTTGTCATTAGTAACTATGTAAGTCTGTTATTGTTAAAGAAGCCCTGGCACCAGTGCCACGCTTATGTCACCTGTCTTGCAGCAGGTAAGGTACTCTTTTTGTTTCCAGTTGGGGGGAAAAAAAAAAAAAATCAGCTACTAAGCTTTTACATATTCGCTTGCTACCAAAGTCCATCTATCATATTGCTGTCCTTGGGCCAAAGAGCAGACATGCAACGCACAGGGCTAACATCTAACTACCTGGGACATCCCAGTCTGCCAAAAAGGGATGATGCATCACAGCAGCATGAAAGGTCTCACGAAACAAAGTTCTCAAGCCTCAGTCTAAAAGAAAAGAAAAAAAATTATTATGGCCTATCTTAGACTTTGGATGGTAGATCGTACACCACTATCTTAATACGGTTTTGGTCTCGCTTCTTGAAAAAAATGAAACAGCATCTGGTGCCAGAGAATGGCAACAGTTGTTACGCTTAAATGAGTAGTAAGTAAGTAAGTATGATCATACATGAACTACAATGTTTCATGAAATAAGAGCACAAATTTCTTATTTAACGGATGTGGTTTATCCTGTTTCTCCACAACGAAGGTACACTATAGCAGTAAAACCGAGTATTTCTGCTATTGCAAAGCGCTCGAGCAGGTCTTTTAACTGGTCCACAGGCAATAAAGGAGAAACTAAACCTTCAGTACTGTTTACAAACAATACTTGCATGTATGTTCACAAGAGCCCCCCCGAGAGCACGCCCGGGATTCCGAGAAACGGTCCCACTGGGAGCTTTTATGTAAACTAGCAGGAAGAGATCGAGGCTTGTTTCCAGAGACCCATCATCATTTTTTTTTTTTTTGGCGGGGGGAGGGTGTCCTTTGCAAAGATCTTACCTGAATATAAAGACATAAAAATTACCAGAAGAGTGTGTTTCACAAGATTATTCAGAAATATTAAAAAAAAAATAAAGAGTATCTTCTCAGTTTATGTTGCAAGCAAGACCAAAGACTACTGGCTTTGAAAAAGGGTTACATAGAGCGTTTTTACTAGGCACTACTGTAATTCAAACCCGCAATAGTCTGTATTTCAAAATGAAGATGAGATAAAAATGAGACTCCTTAAAAAACTGAATATATAAACTTCTTTAGAAAAGGCAATATACAAGGCATCATAATTCCATGTTTATTTTTAATCACACTTTCATTATAATTACATAACTATAAATATATCTTTATTACCTCTGAGAATTATTTTTGTCGTGTTTTCTAATAATGTCCATAATATTATCTCCTGTTACAAGACTATTCTGTAATTGTTTAAGCCTCTGTTGTTCCCTTCTCTTTTGGTCATGAAGATACGGGGAATTAAGCAGCTGTGGGGGAAGAATGGTGCCCGTTGGCTTCACTCTCTTTACAACATCCCAAAAGAGCTTCTTGCTGTTGTTATTGATAAAAGTAATTGCAGTTCCACTGTGACCTAACCTCCCCGCTCTTCCAACCTGAAAAAGCAAAAACTCATTTTAAGTTACCAATATTAAATGGAAGTCTTTCATATATCCTTAAAGCTTATCTTCTGTTTCAAAACAGCAACTAACCTAAGTGACAAGGTCTTTACAACATCCCAAAAGAGCTTCTTGCTGTTGTTATTGATAAAAGTAATTGCAGTTCCACTGTGACCTAACCTCCCCGCTCTTCCAACCTGAAAAAGCAAAAACTCATTTTAAGTTACCAATATTAAATGGAAGTCTTTCATATATCCTTAAAGCTTATCTTCTGTTTCAAAACAGCAACTAACCTAAGTGACAAGGTCTCTTTCTTTTCTCTCATCCTCTAAGCACAAAGTTTTAATAAACTTCCTGAGTTCAGGATACGCAGATCTGAAGCTTTAGCTTAAATGCATCTAAAATTACCACTTGCTTATGGGACATACCAGAAGTCCAATATTCATGCTGAGATATATGATAGAGCCTATGGGCAAAGGCTTACAGTAAATCTGGTCCAAACAAAATGTTTTAAAAAACGTTTATTATAGCAATTGCACATACATGTATCTTGTATCAAGCACGGTATGTGCAAGCATGACCATAAAAAAGCCCTCTACTTTCAATGTTCTAGTAACTTAAAATTATTTCTCAATATTATCCAAAGTGCTCAAACAAATCAGAAAAGAATCTACAAAGACTCTCTATTTAGGAAGAGACAGTATGTTAATATTGGTATAGTTTTGATGCTAGGAGAGAGCATTTTTATTTATTTACTACTTGCTTGAAACTTCAGCAGAAAGATAATTAAAAACCAGAAAGGTGTACTGCAGTTAGTAACCCAGAATACTTCAGGAGTTCATGAG